TAATGAGCTTATCCAAGATCCTGACAAAGAGCTCAGCTTGCTCGAGCTCTTCAGCTGTAGCAGAGCTGTATGTGATAGGTGGCAAGGCCTGTTTGTGAACTTGCATTTCTGCTACGGAGCTTTCTCTGGGGATATGAGTTTAGAAGTTTGAGTTCTGCTCACACAAGGAAGGGTTTGTAGCAGCTACTTTGGTTCCCCTCCTCCAAGCTCCATGACCGTCCATAAAAAAAGCTAACAAATATTGAGTGTTTGAATGTTTTAGCTTCTGGAAGGCCAAGGTTTGTGTGTGCAAGGAAAATCACTGGCCATGTGCTCCAAGCCCCATTCTCAGAAGGATTCAGTGTCCTGCAGGTCTGTGTTCCTGGGCCTCAGGTTGGATACTTTGTCTTGTGGTTTGGCTGTTAAAGAGTGCCGGTTTCTCTGAGAAGTCTCTGGATTATTTACCTTAAACTGTGAAGGAGGAAGAAATATGTATGTTGACTAAATGTTGTTGAATGGTTCATCTGGCACCACTTTCCTTCTTAACTCATCCCAGTTTGCAAAGTTAAAGAACCAGCTGCTTGCTCTTTCCTCAGATATCCTGGAAGACATAAGAGAGGAGTGTCAGAAATATGGTCCGGTGGTTTCCTTGCTTATTCCAAAGGAGAATCCTGGTAAAGGCCAAGTAAGTGAGTGGAGGGAAGAGGCTCTGGATTCCCATAATCACTGCATGTGTCCCAGCACAGCTTCTCTGCTTAAATTTCCTGGATGATGACAGTACTAGGTATAGCTGCTTACTTTGAGAGAGTATGGGTTCATTTCTGCATGCATAAGGCTCCCTAACCTGGAAGGACCACAAAGAGTATTAGAAGAGGAGTTGGGCTGGGAGAGAGAAGAGAAGCAAACAGTGGGTAGGAGAGGAAATGTGAAGGATGTAGAGCATCAGCGTATCTTCCCCCATCTTTCCAAGTGCACTCCCTCTAGGAATGGGGAACAAGAGGCAAAATTCCACTCCAGAGGCACAGCTGCTTCCTTTTTTAGCTCCACGTTTCTGTGCTCAACCATGGGTAGAGGGAAAAGACTTGATGAGAAGCCGTTTCTCGGAGCGGCGCGGAAGCGGCAGGGAGCGGAAGGCACCCTGCAGAGCAAGTGCAGTTTCTCCTCTCTCTCTTCCAGGTCTTTGTTGAATATGCAAACGCTGGTGATTCCAAAGCTGCCCAAAAAATGCTGACTGGCAAGATTTTTGATGGCAAGTTTGTTGTGGCTACGTTTTACCCACTGAGTGCCTATAAGAGAGGATATCTGTACCAAAACTTGCTGTAGGCAGTAGCAACAATCAGGAGAGTTGTCTCGCTCCTCTTCCTCACGTCGTGTTTTACAGTTGAATGTACAAAGAGCTTCCTAGCCCTGCTTTTAAGTCATCTGTAAAGGAGAGATGCAAAGGACTAAAATGGGCTTTGAAATCTTTACTGCTGCTTTGTGATGTGCAGAGGAGGCCTGGATGGCTTTAGGCGTGTGCTTGTGTGTGTTGTGCTTGCTTGTTTACATGAGATGTGTGGCTTTGCCTGCCCTCGGCAGGTGCTCAGGTGACCAGAGTAGTGACTACAGGGGCCTTGGGGGCAGAGCAGACCTTGACGGGCACTTTTAAAAGACTGAATAGAGACAGTTTCACAATTTGGCCCAAGAAATTGCTTTTTTTCACCCTTTGGGCAGGAGATAGCTTGATGTAAACTTTCCACCTGCCGTACAGTACCCGTGCTCTCCTCCAGTGGGGAGCAAAAGGAATGCTTTCCTGGCTTTAGGGGTGTCTGTGGTGTATAAAGAAGCAGAAGCAGCATCCTCCCTGAGGCAGATCAGGAAGACTTTGAGCCTTCAAGTCACAAAGAGCAGCCGTGAAGTGAGATCTGCCGGGCCTACAGAGATGCTTTGTCACCGACTCGTGACCTGAGAAGAGCCGCACGTCGCACCTGGCATAGACGACACGCCGGGCTCGTGTGTGAGGGTGGCTGAAGGTGCCTGCGGTGAGCTGAGCTCGTGCGTGTGCCAGTAACTGCTCAGAGCAGTGCCAGCCTCGGTCCCAAGGGACGCGGTAGCACTTTGTAGCCTCAAGGGATGTGAAAACTCTTGCCATGTGGAATTATCTTTCCAGCTTGTACCCTGTGCTGGCACTGATGCTCACACTTCTGATGCCAAATGATCTGTAGTATTTAAGTGTCTTTAGGTGATGCTTTTGGAAAGGAGTGCTAGAGCACGCAGTATGGGTCGTGTCTCCAGCAGGACTCCTGCAAGTCTTCTAAGGGAGAACCAACCTTTGTCTGCTGTAGGCTCCACGCTTGGCTTTTCTGTGTTGTGCATTTTGGTTTTGCGTTAACCCGTTACAGTTGTTGTAGCTGAGAAGCACTGACACTTTTGGTCCTTGGTAGCTTACACAAAGGGCCTGGGGCAACCCGAGATCCTGCACGGACAGGGCTCGGTCGCTAGTCTGGCAGCACCGTGGGCAACAGCCACGTGCTTCTGGGGCGAGAAACTGAGAGCTGTGTCGTGCCAGAGCCACCCCCTGCTCCCAGGGCTTCCCACAGGGACAGAGGGTCCTTCCCACCGCAGAGAGCAGGAGGTGGCCGGGTGGCTGTGCCCGCGTTAGTGACGGGAGAGCGCGGCAGGCACAGAGCCACGTGAATGCCGATCTCCCGCTGAATTCCTGGGCTAACAGCGGAGTCCCCTTGCAGTCAGCACCCCGCACCTGCTGCTGCTGGGCTGGCTGGGATCCCGCGTAAATCCCTCTTGGTTTTCGCCCAGTGCGCGCTGTGTAACGTGACACGAGTCTGAGTTCTCTCTGCTGGCGTGAAGTCCTGTTTGCTCCAGCCCTTCCCAAACTTTCCCAGGAAGGACCAATGATTTTATTTTATTTCTTTTTTCTTTCTATAGCTGTGAGGTGGTAAACTTTCCACAGAAAAAAAAATCTCAAATGAGCTTTTAAGATTTGTGATTTGCTGATGAGACTCTTTGCAGAGTGATAGTACTTGGGTGTACACTGCTCTACAGCAGCCTCGCAGAGATGGGGTTTGTGATTCATTTGCCTTTAATTTGGCTGTCCTTGCAGCGAAGCACCATGAGCGTCTGGGAAGAACTGGACAATCAATCAGATGAGGATTTTTGTGTGTGCGTGTGAAAAAGCATTTAAATTGCTTTAAGTATTCTAGCTACTGGTAAATATTGCCTGCTGTGTCAGCCCCCAGTTGCTGCTGTCTCTGGCAGGCAGGGCCTGTGATAAAAGCAGCCAGGTTCAGAAGTGCGTGTGTTCAATTCCATCATGCTAGTAACCTCAAACAGGCTGGGTGCAGCGCGAGCTCCCCTGCACGTGGGAGCAGACGCGGAGCTGCTGCTCGGACACGCTTCTCGGGCTGCGAGCTGGCCAAGGCTGCTGGTTTTACCTGTTATTTTATTTTGTTCTATTTCCCGGCGCCTGACACGAGTTGAAGACACCGATGTGCGTGTCCCGTGCACGTGACGGGCCCGGGACGTGCAGCTTCCTGCGGCCTCGCGCCCCTTGTGCCCCCACGCGCGTGGCCATGTGTCAGTTAATAAAGGACGCTTCACCATAACGTGTGCGCGCTGGCCTCTGTGGGACCCGCGTGGGATGTGGGGCTGGGGGGATCCCCCCATCCTGCTGCTTCTTCCCCCCGATCCTGCCCCAT